CATGGTGTTTTGGAAGGAGCAGTGTGAGGGTCAGGTGGCGTCAGGGTAAGCACAAGGATGGCCACACAGCCATGGACTTAAACTGGCCCCAAGTTCAGGGAGTAAGAGGCTGGGTAGAGCCTTTCTGAGGGGATCAAATGTCCCCTCAGACCCAAGACCAGGCAGCGGAATAGTAGAGAGCTGAGCCCACTCTCGAATTCCCAAGCCTTTAGCTATTATCAGCACTCATTCTCCTCTGCTGGAGAGGCAATAACCCTGGAAAGGGTAGTGTAGGGGCTCTAGTGTAGGGCTCTAGTCAGGCTTGGGGTCAGAAGTAGGAGACCAGTTCTCTATTCCTGGCACCAGGCCTCCCAGTTGTCTCTTCCACTCAGGACCTTGCCACACTGCTAGAGCAGATTGGATGTCTGAAGTACCTGCAAGTGTTCGAGGAGCAGGATGTAGACCTTCGTATCTTCCTGACCCTCACTGAAAGCGACCTGAAGGAAATCGGCATCACGTGAGTCCCTAGGGCCACTCCCCACCCCAAGTCATTTCAGCCATCCTTCCAACCTGTATTCCATCAGTAGGACGGTCTATTTAGACAGGCTTTCTTCCAAGTTGGTCTTTGTGCCCACATAGCTCCAAGATGTATGCTTGACCTTTGGGCTTTGTTTTTGTCGGTTTGCTTGTTTGTGATTTGTAACTTTTTTTCATAACTGTCACAGTTGTGGAGTTAGTATTTTTATAGCACAGGTTTATTTCCTGAAAGCTTGGATATAAAAATCCTTTAATAAAAAGTCCAAACTGTGTAATATGCCTTTTGTCCCAAAACATTCCATATACAGAATTATAGTTTGTGTCTTGGCTGTAATTCATGGTGACTCATACTTGAAGTGTCCTCAGGATCTGTCCTCAGCAGGCAGGGCTTACTCAGGGCTTGCCTGTCTGGGAATGTCTGACTCTCTGCTGCACTGTGGAAGGACAGTTTTGCCAGGTAAAGGACTCTTAGTGACAGCCGTTTGCTTTGACACTCTGGCTGCCTCAGCCTTCCACAGTTTTGAATAAGGAAGTACTCGGGTACTTTTACTGAGGTTCCCTGCATGGGACAGGTTGCTTTTTCTTTTCTTGCTCCAGGACTCTGGATGTCTTTAGTTTGGCTGTGTGTCCAGATATCTATCACATCTTCCATCAGTCGTGGAAGTTTCCAGTTGCTAGCTCTTGAGACTGTGTCTGCCCTTCCTGTCTTCGTGAGGTCCTCACAGGAGAGATGTGGGCCCCATGTGGTGTCAAGCTCTTCTTGTGGTTTTCAGTCTCATTCCTCAGACTGAATTTCCATCATGCTCCAGTTGGCTGGCTCCTTCTTTGCCTGCCTCGGGCTGCATCTACCATACTTCTATGTTTCATGATTTTCTGTTGTATTTCCATTTTTATTGAGTGTTTTCACATCATCTTTTAGGTCTTTGGTTGTCTTTAAGATGATGTTTCAAAGCCTTTGTCTAGCAGATGTGCTGCAGGGCTTTCTTGGAACTTCTATAGTTTGATTTCCTCTGAATGAGCCATGCTCTAAGTGTCTTTTAATTTTACTGCCAAAAATAGGTATTTCCCTTTTATGAAATAGTAACCATCAAAGTCACAACCTCCCCTTTCCATGGGATTTACAGTTTTGTTTTTAACTAGTTGTGTTGGCTGCCTCTGCAGAGGACTAGCTTGAGGTTGAAACCCGCAGGTCCTTGAGCCTGTACTGTCCCTAGGCACATCATGATGCTAAGTTTCCACCCATCTGTGACACAAGCTGCTTTTATATAGTCAAGGGTGATCCTGAACACTGAACTCTGTTGTGCCACCTTCCAAGTGCACCAATTTTCTGAGCATGCAGGTACTTTTCAGTGCCCTAGTCTTTACTCTCTGGCTCCTACACAGGAGAATGGAGAAAGGCAGTGCCCCTTAGACCCCACTACTCATTTCCCTACCCTCATCTCTACACACAAAGGGCAAGTGAGTATGGCTGATAGCAGTGGCCCTCAGTAACTACTGTAGTTGCATTCCATGCTTGATACTGGGAGGACAGGGTCTGCCTTGTCTACCCTGCTTCCTGCATGCTGGGTCTGGGTGGTTTCTGCTATGCAGAGCTGAACTTAGCCTCAGCTGGCTTACTCACAGTCAAAGCCTGCAGTGAACTCCAGACTGCCAGGTGGCCCATGCAGATTCTGCCAGTGCCCTTGTCTGTAGGGGAGAGATTCCTAGAAATCTCCCATGAGAGCACAGCCATGGCTGTCCAAGTCTGGAGCCAGTGATGGTAGAGGCTGTTTGGACACTTGTGTTTCTGTCCCATAACTAGGTGTTCCCTAGTGACTGGCCTTGGTGGCAGGTTGGGACCAAGGTCTGTGCTCATGATAGAAACTGACGGGAACCCTGATTCACTCCTCCAGGTTGTTTGGGCCTAAAAGGAAGATGACCTCTGCCATTGCCCGCTGGCACAGCAGTGCCCGCCCCCCTAGTGATGCCTTGGAGCTGGCCTATGCTGACCGGCTAGAGGCTGAGATGCAGGAGCTCGCCATCCAGTTGCACAAAGTAAGTGGAGAGGTCCAGGTGGCTGTGGACACAGGAGGCAGAGCATATCTAGAGTTACACCTTTGTAGCAGAGGAGATAGCATCGGTAGGTGAATGGAGACAGGAAACTTGAAGCAGGTATATAGAACAGTCAAGTCAGGTGGATATAGGAGGAAGAACAAGTAGCCCACACAGAACCTCAAATCTGTAGGATTGAGCCAAAGGAGCCATTCCTAGAATGGGCTGCAGAGAAGCAGACAGGCAGCCTAATAGACTCTGTCCTTTGGGGGGATCAGGAAACACGGGTCTTGGCCTCCTGGCTTAGGCCCTCCAGCCTGGTATTTGCCTGCAGTGCTGTGAGGAGGCAGAGGCCCTTCGTGGCCAGGTGTCCCAAGAGCAGGAATTGCGGGCTGTAGTAGAGAGCTGCCTCCTGGAGCAGGATAGTGCCCGAAAGGACATCCATGCCCAGCTGCAGGAGGCCCAGACCCTGGCCAAGGATGCTGCCCTTGTCCTGGACCAGCTGCGGTAAGTGGGCTCACATACTCAGGTAGTCACCCCCCACACACTTGTCATTGTCCCTTCCTAATCCTCTAAGTAGGTGGAAAGTTGGGGGAAACCATATTCCTAGGCTCTGTCTCCCACAGGGCAGACCCAGGCTTGACTAAAAGCAGGCTGGAGATGAGCATGACTGACTGGTGTGGGACTTTCAGGGCTGAAGTGGTTTTTGTTGCCCTTTTTGGGTTCGGGTTGACAGCAGGGCCTCTTTGACACTAACACTTGGTCATATGTCTGGCAGGGCTTGTCAGGCTGAATTGTCAGCTCGAGTGAGGCAAGACCAGTCCCCCAGTGAAGTGACCCTAAGTCCACCCTTTCTCTCAGCAGGTAAGAAGAGCAGCAGCCTGGCTTTGGACTAGGACAAGGATGGTGGGTAGGAAGCCTTAAGTTCCAACCAGTGGGCTCTGCATGGCTGTTATAATGGCAACTCTGTCCCCAGAGCAAGCCCACTTGTGACAAGAGATGGACTATTACACTTAGGGGGTAGATGGCAACTGTAAGGGCCTTTGTTTCATGGCTGACTACTATCTTTAAGGCCTCTAGTAGAGTTGGGTAGCAGGAGCTCCCAGGGTTGAGCTCTACTTACGCCTGAGCCTTACATAGGTAGTTGCTGAGCTTGTAGCTAGGTACATCCCTGCCTGGTAACCGCACACATCTGCAGCGAGTGAGTGAGGACATACATACGTGTGGCCAACTTGCCCCTTTTGTACCACAGATTCCAAAGGCTGGCCTAGTCCCCTGCAGGCCTTGAGCCTTCCTGAGTTGTCAGGGGCCCTGGAAGACTGTGTCCATGAGATGGGTAAGTCTCCAAGAGGGCAGCCAAGGCTTTAAACTCACCCTTCCCCAGACCCTCTTCTAAGGACTGAGGCTGAGAGCTGCCATACCCAATCAGCTCAGACCCCTGGGTAGTCTCACCCAAGCCTGACCCCAAGGCCACCTAATCCTAGTCCCTGAGTTTCCCTTCTTTCCTGCTGCTGAGATTTGACACAGAACACTAATTGGCCCTATCCTTAGGGCAGGCATTATGCTCTGTAACACAGAGCCTGGAGAAGCTACAGACGCTGAATGGGAAGAAATGGCGGGAACCGTAGCCAGGAGGGATGGTGAGAGTACCCACATGCCCATGGGCACCCTAGACCACCTAACCTTCCTGTCTCTTAACAGGCTTTTCTTTTTCTCTTCAGATTCTGACGTTGGGTGATGGATCCACCCTGAAGTTATATGTGCCATGCAAGACAGGGCAGTGAGCAGACGGCTGTAGCCGCCCAGGAGATGGAAAACCAGCCCAGGGAACAGCTTGTGGACAGGAGGACAGGACTTCAGCCCCTGCCTGGGCAGCTTGGGCCAGCCCTGAGGCACCCTGAGGCAGGATGAAGGGCCTGGCACCCAGGTCCTGGTGAAAAGGCCCCAAGAGAGTAAGCAGCTTGGGCCCAGGCAGAATTGTGTGAAGAGTGTGTGTCCCCTGCACATGCAGGTGCCACACTGAGGTTTGTTTAGTCTTAAGGTGAGGTCTGGGTGCCTAGAAAATGTGCTGTTTGTTGGAAAATAAAATTACTTCCAAGTTGGTGGGGGCTCATTTATGATATGACATGCATTCTTGGCTGTCACAGCAGATCCTAGTAACCCATCTGTAGTCTCTTCTGATCTCCATATCTCTTGCTCCAAGATCTCTCCCCTGCTTGACAGCTGTTGTCCTAAGCCCTAAAATCAGTATTTCTAGACAGGCTGGAAGTCGGCCAGCAGTGGCATTCCTGTTCTGTGGTGGTGCTGTTTTACCTCTGCACACAAAGTCTGTAAACCACTACAAGGGCTGAACTCAAGCTACTAGCCAGATTGCTCACCCTCAGAGTTCAAGCTGGTCGTGTTCTTGGACCCAGCTTCCACACACCTCAGAGAAAGATGTGGCCATGCAAATGTAAGCATCAGAGGAATGGCTTTATTGTCTTCTTGCTTCCTCAATTCCACAGAGTTGAGGCAAAGCCCTCCTGGGGAGAACCAAGCCATGTGGGCCACTCTGAAACCAACCCACTGTTCACACACCAAGAAAGAAAAATCTAACCAAAATCCAACAACCCAAATGAACAACAGCCTATCTCGCAAGCTGGATCAGGTTCTGGGCTAAGGGAAGGAGTGATGTAACATGGGTCACCTCCATTGACTGAAATCCCTGACCAGTCCAGGAACCATGTACCAATCAAGTGGTTGCCTTGGAAAAGTGGGCTGTACCCGGGCCTCCAGCAGTCATGAACAGACTCACACAGGGCAGTCTGAACCCTGGAATGGGTGAGAACATCCTCAGCTTGAAGAGTCAGGCCCAAGCTATTCCACTGAACAACCTGAGAGGGTAGCTAGGTCCCAGGGTCTGCTTGGGACAGTAAAGATGAACAGCTGCCTGCTTGTCCCTTGCAGTCGAAAGGGACAAAACCAAACACGCTAGAAGGCACTCTTCTTGGGAATTCCAGGGCCTGTGGGCAGAGACAGCCAAGGGAGGGCAAGAATCGCACAGGAACCTCAGGATGAGGCTGGGAGTAGCTTTTCTAGGGCTTTCTTCTGTTTTTCTGTGGCTGAGGCCAAGGCCTCGGCCAGCTTTTCCGAGGGCATCATGTTGAGTACCTTAAGGGCAAATAAGAGCTGGTACTTGGCAGTGCTGACGAAGGCATTGCTCAGGAAGTTAGGAAAGCCTCCTACTCGATCCTTCTGGGTGTACAGTGGAACGCGTACAAGGCCCAGCACCTATGGGACAGAGAGCATGGGGTGAAACTGGGCTCTCCCTGTAGAGGTAGGAGCCTGGCAGATGCCTGACAACCAGTTTGCTAAAGAGACGGGAAGACCCAGGCAAGGCTGGTAGCAGTAAAGCCTATGAACTCCCCGCCCTATCAGCCAGCACCCAGGATTACTGGCCTCACTCCAAACCCCTTAGACCACTTTTATATTATCTCACAGGATAAAACCCCAAGCCTTATAACCTAGCCTTTTTGGTCTGTCCTCAATTACCCAAGTAGGCCCTGACTATCCCATCTTTCTCATATCCCATTTCCCACTCCCAGGATTGACAATGGCAGGCAGCAAGGCAAATGTAAACGGCCCCGGACCCAGAACCCAAGTCTCTTCCCACCCAGCATGGCCAGGGTGAGGACCCTGAGGGGCACTTGTTACCACATCGGTGCCTTCTGCGGTGCCAGAGCCAAACCTCAGGAGTGGGGATGGGGGCGGTCCCCAGGCAGTGGTCCCACCTCCAGACCGTGGTCCCGCGAGTGCACAGCACTGATCTCCACAGCATGCAGCTGCTCCAGTGTCAGCTGCCTTGCATACAGGTGTGCCACCACACGTTGTGGACCCTCAGTTAGATGTGAGCTCAGGTAATCAGCTTCGGTAAGGCGCAGGCCGCCCAGGCCCAAGCCTAGCACCCGGTTTAAGCCGTCCTCCAGCGACCAGAAGCGCCGGTCCACAAAACCCCCAGGGAAGCCCAGCAGCCCGTCGAAGCGCATCTGCATCTGCAAGGTAAGCCGGATCAGGGCGCGGGGTCCACAGGGCGCCCCAAGCCTATGTCCACCCGCTCACCCACCCAGCTCCTCCTCACCAGCACTGAAAATCGCATGGGAATACGACCGAAGAGCTGCCCGGGGTTAGCGGCGTACAGCATGGCGTGGCACGAGTGGCTCCAGCCGGGCCCCAAGCGCATTGCTTCCTCCCGGCTAATCTGCTTTAGCTCTGGAACCGTCGTGGTAGACATCTTGATAAACTCCAGGCCCACCGCCCAAATGAGCATGCGCAACCCCGCCCACGACACGCAGGCCCAATCCACGTGCATGGGCCCACCCCCACCAATCCTGAGAGCCTGAGGTTGAACCCAGAGAGGACGGGAGTCCCTAGCGGGAGGGTGGAGTCTGTCACCCTCCAAACTGCACAGGAGACCTCTCCCACAGACCAGAAAACTACAATTCCCAAGATGCACTGCGCGAAGCCAGGTCATCACAAGGAGGTACACTGAGCATCAAGACTTGCCAGTCTCTGAGTCCTGGACATCCCTGAGGGTGCAGATTTTCCTGAGCCTCGACCCCAAGCTCATGGCTGTACTGTTTACCCTGTGAAACCATGCCTTTAAAGATTTAAACATCGGACAGAACTAGAAAAAAACCAACCTGAGTGAGGTAACCCAAAACCAGAGACAAATATAGTATGTACTCACTCAGAAGTGGATACCAGATATAAAGCAAAAGATACCCAGCCTACAATCCACAACCCCAGAGAAACTCGAACCTTCTTCCAGAAACAGATGGAAACAGATGCAGAAATCCACAACTCACCACTGGGCCAAGCTCCTGGAGTACAATTGAAGTAAGGGAGGAGCAAAAATATAAACAAAGGAGTCAAGACCATGACAGAATCAGCTGATCTGACCTAGTGAGAGATCACTGACTCAGATCTGACGAATGGGGACCCTGCATAAGACTAAACTAGACTCCCTTAATGTAGGTGACGATGGTGTGGCTGGGACAATACATGAGGCCACTGACTTAGTGGAGCCCATTCTATATGGAGAGATACCTTGCCCAGTCTAGACACAGGGGTGTGGGGGTGGAGAGGTGCCTTCGTCCTGCCTCAACGAGATGACGGGACAGACTTAGATTTCCTATGGGAGGCCTCACCCTCTCTGTGGTGCAGACAGGAGGTGGGGGAGGGAGTGGGGGGAGCAGGAGGAGAGGTGGGAGGGGAAACTGGGATTGGAATGTAAAAATAAATAATAAAAAGCTTTAAGCATCTAAGTGATTCCCTTTACCCTCCTCTTGGCACATGGCTAGTGCTCAGCAGACATCAGAAGGGCTGGGGTAGGGTAAGAACTAGGACAACCGGCCCACCTGGAGGCTGAGAGTCACCAATTGCTCAGGAGAGGTGAGCTACCAGAAGCCACTCAGTGTCCTGCCACTACATCAAGGATCAACTGCCTGCCCACATTGCTGTGCCAGAGCAAAGGCACACGTACAATATTGCTGCATGATTTTATTACTATAAATATACAGTAAAAACAAACCAAAACTAGCCAATCAGAGTACATCAAATGATAGCACATGTGAATCTGAGACACGTGAGTCTGTAGTCTGTAGTCTGCATCCCATCTTTCAAAGGACTGGCACCAGTACCATGGCCAGAGGCCAGGGCTTTGGCAGGGGAAGGGTGGGTGGGCATGCACATGCTTAAGTGTGTGCATTCAGAAGGAGGGCAGATGGATGTGCAGGCAAGGCTCTGCTCACAGGCTTAGAGACACCAGGCCAGCCACTGCTAGAAAGGGGCAGGGGTAGGGCCAGAGCTCAAGCAACCCTGAGCCTAATGAGGCTCCATGCATTGCTACAGGTTGCCACCAAGGTGAGTGGCAGGGCAGCTCCATACCTGCTCACCAGGGGAGCCTCAATGCCTAGGCACCTCTGCCTTGGGACCACCCATGGGCCCTTTGCCTTAAAGACAAAGTATCACTGGGACCCTGCTCATAGGTAGACTTCTGAGAGGAGCCTTAGACAATTAACCAATGAGAAACGCAAAAGGACTTGTGCCCGCCAATGGGTCTGTTGTGGGAGCTGCTCAGGCTCTGCCCTGGCAGGGAGTGTGCAGTGCTCCCTGCCAGCATGAACATCTCCATCCTGGAGGCATGTGAGGCAGCAAGTGGAGCAGGACCCGTGAGGGGTGCTGGATACCAGCCACCGCAAATGCTGTGCTGTTCACATATCTGACTTCCTAGGTCTTGCCCACAGCTGCCCCTGCTGCCAGAGCTCACTAGTAGGTTGAAGAACAGAGCAGGAGGGGGCCCGAAGGTTCCCGGGAGGGTCACCCATGGACAGGACATACAAAAGGTGAAAGCAGCAGTGACAACCTGGCTGCCTTGGAGGACACACGCAGGACAGGTAGACAGGCACCTTTTCCTTCATCAACCGTAACCTGGGCTGCCCACCTTCTAGAACATCTGTGAGGATGACACTTTACTCCATGGGTCAATTCTCTTCTGCTGGTTTGCTAAGTGCTCAGAGCATCAACCTTGGCAGTTGGGAGCCCCTCTAGGGCCTATGGCCCATGGAGAAAGCTGCTGTCCTTCATCTTGTACCATTTACAAATACATAGACCATAAAAAAGGACGAGGTGTGGAAGAGTAGTCCATTGTGCAATTTGATCAAGGTTCACTATGGCCTCTCAAAGCTGGGTGGCCACATCAGGTGTGCAGATAGGAGAGGCCAGGGTCTCACTGGGCTCCAGGGAAGTCTCCTGGCAATTTTGGGGATACTGAGGGCTCTGTGCTGCCAGCTGAGCCAGGCTCTCAGAGTGGGGTCAGCTCAGTAGCTCCAGGCTCAGAACTAGAGCCACTCAGCAGAGGCCAGGGGGAGCTGGTGGTGCCAAGGCTGTGTGGCGTCTCCATGGAGGTGGACCATCCTGTAGAGGGGAGCAAAGTAAGGGGAGTCATGATGGGCAGCTGGTCACATCTCTAGTCCCATCAACCCAGAGTCTCATGGGGGCAGAACCACCTAGCACCCCTCTACCTTGTAACCAGGTACATGCCAGCTGACAGGAATAGTACATGTGACCTCACAGAAGGCTAGGGACCCTTCAGTCCTAGGCAGTGAGTTACATCTATCACCCTTCAGAACCAGTAGAGCTTCAGGCAAAGAGCAGCTGTGGGCTGCTGGCCTCAGGGTCTCCTGAGCTGGACTACCATTCCTGGACCTCGGCAGCACAGTCCCTGCCAAGAGCTTTGCAACTGGGTTAGCTGGAGTCCAGCCAACTCAAGCACAGGAAAAGTGAGCAGATGGGGACAAAGCAAGGTGGCACTTGGGTCGCCTGAGCAAGCAGCCCCCCACTGGAGCAGAACAGGCCCAAGAGCCCATCTGTCCCAGATATCAGCTCTGTGGTGCTGTGTGGTGTTATCCCAGGGCAAAGGTTGTTCTCAGAAGAATAGGTGAGACAGACAAACGGTCGTACCCTTTTTAGGAGCTGTGGCCTCACAAAAGCACCTTTATGTGGTTCAATCCCTAGCTGTGACCTAAGTTCTAACTGCTGAAGTTCAACCTAAATTCCAACACACCACTTTTGTTTATGATGCACAGTTGCAGCTGAGAAACCATGAACCCCCCAAAAAACAAAGAAGGCCTAGCTCTCTGGCTGATGGGAGAGGGCTGCAGCCTAGAGGTCTGGACACCAACTAGGCACATCCCAGACAGGCTGTGTGAATCTGCCATGGTGCCATCCTTCCGGGGAACCCTGACACAAAAGGTTACCAGCCCCTCTGTAAGAACCTTAAGAAGAAAGAGTCCCTGCCTGTAGGCCTAGTTTACAGGGATGCTTCTGTAACCAGCAATCTGGGCCATCTATGGAAAAGCAGCTACCAATCTGACAGGGCACCAATCCCATTGGTTGTTAAGACTGTGTGTGTGATGCAACAGAAGGTTCCAGAGACAAGATGGACATGTTCTCAGTGACAATGATGGTCTCAAGACAAAAAACTCTGCAGTGCACAAGAGAGAAAGTTGTATGCCAGATAAGGGGACAGAGGGCACAGTGACAAGTGAAGGAAGGCATGAGGGATGCTCTCTGGACAGGAAGCGAGAGGGTGTGTTTGTTTTGAGACAGGCTTCTCTGTAGCCCTGGCTGTCCTGGAACTCTCTGTAGACCAAGCTGGCCTCAAACTCAAGAGACCTGTCTGCCTCTGCCTCCTAAATTGCTGGAATTAATAATAATTGATAATGCCACCACACCTGGCATTATTTTTTAATGTGTATTTTTATATTCATTTTATGTATGAGTGTTTTGACTGCACATATCTCTGTACAGAAATTGCATGCCTGGTGCCCAAGGAGGCCAGAAGACAGTGTCTAATCCCTTGGTTGTGAGCTGCCATTTGGGTGCTGGGAATTTAATCAGAGTATTCTGGAAGCACAGCCAGTGCTCTTAAACACTCTCCAGTCTCACAGGACACAAGAGACCTAGGAAGACATACATGTCCCACAAACAGGAACATTGATGGGAGTAGGTAATCTAGTGTCTCCCATGGCTTGTGCAAATCTGAACTATTGCTTAAAACAACAACCATAGCTGAGGTAGGAGGGATGTGTATTTGGGCTACAGAACAAGTTCATTCAAGGCCAGCCTAGGGAACTTAATAAGACCCTGTCTGTGCCCAGGGGCAGACCTAAAAAACTAAGGAGGGCTGGGGATGTTGCTCAACTGCAGAGTGTCCTACCTAGATCCAATTCTCACCACTACTGAATTTTGTTTTTAAAAACCACAGTGAGACTACTGTGTACAGCCACAGGATGCTGTCCCAAATGTCCCTAGGCTCCCTAGTCCTCCAATTCCTTACTATAAGGATCAGCAACTTCAGAAGCCTGGGCTGAATCACTGTTCAAAGGATCCTACATTATTATTTGGAAGAGCCTGGATGAGCACCTGTCTGGATGGGAGACCCTTTGGCTACAAAGCCAGGACCCCAGGAGACCACCTTTTAGACACAAAGGTGAAGCAGTCATCAGTGGTTTCTGGACTCTGAATCCAGAAAGAACCCTCAGGGCTGGGCTCTTCCTTGCAGATATACCCAGCCAAGCCACCAGAAGTGTGGAGGAAAGGTCACGTACCAGCTTACTCCTCTATACCAACAGAGCAGGACTCAGGACCCAGGGCTGTGCAGAGAGGAGGGAGAGACAGATGGAGCTCAGTTAGCAGAAAGACATGGACCTTAGGGTCAGGGTGGGGAACTGACTAGAAACAGACTGCCCACACACTGCCTGCTACAACCAAGAGGTACAACCAGGATAGATCCTGGACAACTTTCTAGCAAAGAGAGAGACGTGTATACTGTGAAGGCAGCAGGCAAAGTTCCTCTTGTGGCTATGGACCAGGGAGAACGCCTAGCAGAGACACCCACTTTTCCAATACTTTTATGGACTTCCCCCACCCCATTTTATTCATCTCTAGGGGACTTGGATCCAGTGAATTCAGCAGCATCCAGGAGGTAGTGGTGCCACTGTCAGAAAGTAAAGACACCAGCTGCATGTATGCTTCTCACAAAGATGAAAGATATGCAGCCTTCTCTGACAAGAGCTGGCAGAAAAGACAGTAGGTGCCATCATGTAGGGAGAGACATGCAGGTATGTATAACTGTTACACAAGTCCCTCCCCCCACCCTCCAGCACTGACACTCATCAATGGTAGCTCCAACAAAATGTGCAGAGATAGCAACCTGTGTTCCTGTCACAGAGCAAGCCTGTATAATGGGTGGTTCTCAGAGAGTGGCTAAGATCCAGAAGCAGTCCCTGTGCAGAACTGGCCAAGGCCGGCTCTTCTCCAACAGTACACGTAGATCTTGTGTCTCCTACAGCTTCTCCAGCTGATTGCCTCCCACCCATTTGGTGGATTTAAACGAGGCCTGAGACCCCTGCCTAGAGTTGTCCCTGTGACCAGTCCTGATATACTGCAGGCCACACAGGGGATGAAGTATTTTTTGCTGGACAGTAAAGGTGCCTTCAAGTCCACCTGCAGGAGCAAAGCTCATACTGGTGACTCAAAAGACCCAGAGAACTTTTCCAGCTCCCTGCTTAGCCAAATTTACAATAAAGATGGGCACTTGAGGTGCTTCCAAGAACATACTGGACTTGTGCCCTTTAGGACATGCTGGTTCCAAACACACTGCACCTATGGGTTTGTTTTGGATAGGCCATAGTGATCCAGTAAGATGACCTATAGCTATTCTCCCACCCTTGATGACCCCTATGGGTCACTTCACATCCAGAAGACAGGGGCAGATGGGAGGCCCTACTCACCAAAGGATGCCACAATCACCCAATACCAAGTGGCCCTGGAAAAGTGAGCAACACTGACCTTAGGGCCAAGCAGGGGGCAAAGGGGCCTCCCTGACACATGAGAGTAGCCCATCTCCTTAAGTTGGTGCTTCTAAGAATCAGTCTCAGAAGGTGTAATGGCTGTTTATCAGAACTCACAAAAGCAGAACACTTGTAAGTTTGAAAGAACTACTTCTATCCCAGATTTGGAGGCCCAAGTGTGAGCCCCAAGTATAAAGCTAAGGAGCTTATTCCCACAGAGCAGACAGAAGAGGAACTAAGTGACAGCCTGTGCCTAAACCTTTAGAAAAAGAATAGCAAGTTCATGGCCCCCTGCCTGTGGTCTGACCAGTGTATTCTCTGACCTGACTTGGAATATAGTGCCGTACTGGGCAGTGGCCCAGGTCACCCACAGGCAAATGTCTCTCTAGCAAGGGCCACAGATGGAGAGAGACTGCAGTCTCAGTAGAGTGAGATTGGCCTCCCTGGGCCCCATCAGGCAGCAGCCAGAAAAAGGACTTTGTCCTTCTGCAACAGCCTGGCATGCCTTCCTCAGGCCAAGTTTATCTAGGGTCTGCAGGAAGCCTGCAAGCAGCCTAAGCCTGGCCTGATCCCGCTGTGGGGGTGAGCAGGGCACAGAGTCAGAGAGATGATCTGGTCCCTGAAGGATGCAATAGGTCTCAGACTCCCCTTTCCTTCCTCTACACAAATGTCTATAGAGGACCTGGTGCTATTACCTGGTAGGTAAATGTCGGCAGGAGGGACAGTCTGGTTGCAACCATGGTGTTGGGGGCTGCCATCCTGCAGGACATCATCAATAGAGGGCACTTGGCTCCCTGCAGCAGGTAGAGGAAAGAAATCAGGACACATAGGTAGGGACAGGTCCTTGTGGTCCATTCTGACCCTGTAAACTCCAGGGACCAAATTAGTGAGCATGTGCATAATGTGGGAAGTTTTGTTTCTTTTATTTCGAACCAATCTGTCTGGTGACGGTAGTAGCTGTCTTTTGCTCTTCCTTGAAATTGCGCATATAGGAGTGGCCCCATTAACCTGAGTGGCAGTGGGCTTCAGGGAAGATTTCTGGAGCAGCCCTGAGGACCATGGCTACTCTTACCTCACACAAGTACTCAACAGCTTGTGCCTGCATTCCTATGGGTGACTTTTCTGCCTGGGTAAAGAGCTCTCCGCATATGGGAGAAGTCTAGGCCTTAGGTGGGAAGTTGAGAGCCTCCCTGCCTGAGACAGAAGATGGAAATACAAGGTCAGGCTAGAGGGGCTAAAGACACAGCACACGGCTCCAAGAGGGCACCACCTCACTCACACCCAGGGCCACCGGCCCCTGCAAGCGGGCCTCACATAAGGAGACCTCTCAGCAGGATGTAGGACACAACAGAGCAGGTGCAATTGCATTCCCATCCTATGGACCTTACTGCCAGTTAGACATAGTAAGGACTAAGCAGAAGCAGGCTTGGGGGACTTCTTATCACCAGACATGGCCTGCAAGAGGGGTGGGGCAACCCAAGCCTCCTAAGCTACCCATTAAGCCCTTCACTATAGGGAGGTGAGGAGACACCAGCTGTCATCAATTCATCAGGAAAAAAGACAGTCAGGTAACTACAAAACACACCAAGACAAATAACTCCCACACCTGGGCACCCCTTCCTGGACACACATGAGGTGCTGGCCATTAACACAATGTCCTTATCACTCCTGCACACCAGGTTCCAGAAAGTAAGAGCTGGGAGTTTTCCCTAGCCAGGACCCAAAGCTTACCAAGGGCTTGGGGACAGGCTTGGGAGAAGGGGCTCACCTTGCTTGAGTGACGGTTCATCCACCTCTTCTGTTCCGAAACTCTAGGAGACAAAGAGGAAAGGCCTCTGGTGCAGACATCCTCAGGTCAAATGGGCCAAATTCCTGAGACTAGGCTAAGGGCAGTGGGCAGCAGCTGCCACTGAGTGACACAATGATGTCACTGGAAGCTATGCTTCACATGTGGTCTTGCTTATAAGTACTCAAAGTGACTCCACCCCAGGGCACCTAGCCCAGTCAAGGACACTAACTTATCTGTCTGGCTGTAACATAAGTGTGGCAGTGCCTAGAGGGCTAGTGAGGGCTCAGAATCATCAAGGGAGTCCCGAGAAGGCCGTCAGGGCCTCACCAGAAGCCAGCCTCACCTCAGGGGAGCTGCTCTCCCTCAGTGCAAGCTCCACACCACTTGGTGGGACAGGAGCATCAGAGTCCTCAGAAAGCTTCTCCTCATCCTCCTCATGGATGGGGGATGATGGAGACCGCAGGGTGCTGGAGAGAGGAAGGAAGCAAGATTGTAGGATGGCTAGGTGAGGAATGCAAGCCTAGCAAAAGCCACATGGACCAGCAGCCTTTGCACACACACCTGGAGACATGAAAGGGGCCTTTGGGGGAGAGGTGGCATCTCTGCAAAGATTCAAAAAGCAGACCTTCCTGAGGCCCCCAGGGAGAGCCTGAACAACCAGGAAGGTGGACCAGCCCAATAACCCTCCCACTCCCAAAGATATCAGCACAAGCCTCCCAGCCCGACACTAGAAGAGACACATTGAGGCCCAGGCAAACAACAGAAGGGACTCTGTGTCTTTGGAGTTGCTCTGCCATGTACAAGGACCTGGGCAGCTTACAAAACACATACCTTTCTTACACTTTTCTCCTTAAGGAGTCAACACAGTAAGACTGATTAGCCACGCCATGCTAGTCTCTAAGGGAGCAAGACTGACTCTTGAGCAGCCCAAGGAATGTGGCACTGGAGAGGACCCTTGTGATATTGAGGATGAAGCTGGGGCTCTGCAGTAGAGCACTAGCCTGGCAAGTACATGGACTTTGGACAAACTCCAGAAAAACACAGATACACAAAACAACCTCTGACAGAAGATTAATATCTTGGACACATAGGAGCTCAAAAAGATGTACTACAAACACCAAACTATCCAATCATTAAATGAATTCAAGGCAGTTTGCAAAAGAAATATAGCCCATAGTAGTGGCGCATGCCTATAATCCCAGCACTTAGGAGTAAGGGCAGGAGAATCAGGGCTTCTAGGTCAGCCAGCCTAGGCTGCCTGAGAGCATCTCAGAAGAAGCAAAAAGAATAAAACTGTCAGGCACAGTGGTACATGCCTTTAATCCCAGCACTTAGGAGGCAGAAGTTGGAAGATCCCTAAGTTCAAGCCCAGCATGGTCTACAGAGCTAGTTCCAGGATAGTCAGGGTTACACAAAGAAATCCTGTCTCAAAAAACCTAAACAAATAAACACACACACACACACACACACACACACACACACACACGCACGCACGCACGCACGCACGCACGCACGCACACACACGTGTGTTGATATCATTAGCAGGAAAATTGCTAAAACTAGAGATTAAAGAAAATTAGCCAGACCCAGATTTTAAACTAAGCATATTAACAAGTAGGACATGAAAACAGAAGGGCATTGTGTGAAGTGGCCAAAAGGGGGCAGCTACAATACAGAGTAATAAGATGTATATACAATGTGACTATTTAGGGAGAGGAAAGGAGCCAGTATAGGGTGTGTAAGAGAGGTGTGTCTGCACAATAATGATACAGATGTATAAAAATGTCATAATGAGCGTTACTATTTTGTATGCTAACTAAAAATAATATTATCGGTATAAAAAGAAGTGGGGACCACCTAGCAAAAATATCCATTTATATTCTCTTGCTACTATAAAAACAATGTTTATAACCTGTTGAAGTAGAAAGCCAGTACAACCAGATACACAAGCCATGGAAAGAGCCACTGCTCAAAGCCTGGAAAGGGAGCACATGGGTGGCAGTAGCAACAAAGTGTGCTGGCTAGTTTTATGTCAACTTGATACAAACTAAAGTCATCCAAGAGCAGGAGCATAAATTTTAAAAACTCCATAATACTGGGCTGCAGGCAAGCCTGTCCAACATTTTCTTTATTAGTGATCGATAGGGAAGGGCCCAGCCCATTGCAGGTGGTGCCATCCAGGGCTGGTGGTCCTAGGTTCTGTAAGAAAGAAAGCAAGTGAGCAAGCCACGAGGAGCAAACAAGTAAGCAGCACCCTCCATGGTCTCTGCATCAGCTCCTGCCTCCAGGCTCCTGCCTGTTTGAGTTGATGCAGTAAGATGTGGAAGAGTAAGCCAAATAAACCCTTTCCTCCCCATCTTGCTTTTGGTCAAGGTGTTTTATCACAGCAATAGTGATCCTAAGACACAAGGTATATCTGCTTCACGCCTCAGCATCCCCAGTTTCAGCTGTCACTGCTGGTTCCTTGATGAGACATGCTTTTGTGACCAGCTGTTAATGTCAAAAATTCCTAGATTCAGCCAGGCAGTGGTGACGCACGCCTTTAATCCCAGCACTTGGAGGGGGGGTAAAGGCAGGTGGATCTCTGTGAGTTTGAGACCACCCTGGTCTACAGAGTGAGTTCCAGGACAGCCAGGACTATTTCACAGAGAAATCCTGTCTCAAAACAAACAAACAAACAAACAAACAAAAACAAAATCAAAACCATAGATTCAAATCAGTTCTGTGGACAGTCTGCACAATTTACTGAGTTAGCAGCTGGTGTACTTTGGGCCTTGGGGACCCTGGGAGCCTCCGCCCAGCCCCTTTCCTGATGTACTGTTCTGTTCAATGTTGCTGGCTGTCATCAACTATACAGAGTCTGACCTACTGCTGGACCTTTTGAGTCCCAGTGATCAAGAAACAAAATGCATCATAAAGTTCTGTAAAACAACAGAGAAACCATGCAAGTCTCACATGCACACATAATCGGATCTCTCCCCCACCCCCTTACACACTCTCTCTTTCACTCAACATGATGGATGGCACATCACCGAGGGAGACTGGGCAGTGGCCTCACCTGTCTGGAGACTTGCTCTGTGGCTTGCCCTTCTGTAGGCCACTTTCTATGATTCGATCGAGTCCAGCAAGAGGACAACTGGCCTGGGACAGACCATCAGAGATGCCTGAGTAGGTGATTTCCTCATAGAGGGGGGCTGATGGGATAGCTGGGGAGACAGCCCGTAGACCATTGAGTGCCTCAAGCAAGGAGATGGGCTCATAGCCAGGTGGGACACTGTCAGAACTCTGTGGGGACAAAAATCAATGAGGAAGGCCCAGCCAGGAAGGAAGCTCCCTGTCTACAGCCATGAAGCCCCAGAAATGAGACATTCTCCTCCCCAGACCTGCTTTGCTGACTGTGTCTTGCTCATGCCACCTTCCAGGAACTTAATCCCCAGCTCTTATCAAAGCTATCTTGAAGAGTGGAAGCTATCCTATTCAGGAGTCCCTCAGCCACCAGCTCCAGCACATACCTCAATACCCAGATTGATTAGCAAGGTCTGCAAAAGCCATTGTCCCCATCACTGCCAATCCCTGACATGGCTTGCTGTTCCCAGCTTGCAGGAATGTGTGAGGGGTTAGTGACAGCAAGAGAACTCAGGAGCAGGCAGAGCAGAGCAGAGAGCCATGCCAGAGGCAGAAGACCATCGACAGTGCTGCCCTGGACCAGGGGAAGTATGGCCTCTGGGGACCTCAAGCAGCATGGCAGTGGGAATATGGATGGGTACTGGCTACTGCAGCCCCTCATTAGGAATAGATGGATTTGGCAGGGGTAAAGGAGAAGGAACACGCCCAGCTTCCAGAGAAAAGCAGTCAGGCCACAGAGTGCTGCGGAAAGATCATGCTGCATTGCCCCCTTGGGCTCTCACAAATCTAGTAGAGGGGCAGTGCTCCTAAGAACTTCCTCCAGGAGGCTCTGGCCTGCCCACCCTCGGCAGTGTGAATAACAGGGTAGGGTAGGGAGGCACTTGTGGAGCAGGTGGTACACACCAGACCAGTGCTGGATCTTTGCCCTCTGGCTAACTCTCACCTATCCCCACCTGCCTTCAACTTAAAGGTGAACAACTGCCTCCCACACCCACCCACCCCCCCACCATGTCATAAAGGACACACCCTGCTGCTTCCCAAGCTTCTTCCTGCAGTTACACTAGCTTTCAATGGGCTCTCAACAGGCCAGTGAAACTCCAGGAAGAGGTCTGGCCTGGCTGCTACTGACTTTTGTTCTCCCTGTCTGGTCCCTGGGGTGCAGGGGAAAACGTCAGAAAACCAGAGTCCTCGGCCCAAAGAGCTAAACTTCAAAGTCAGCCAGCCAGGGATGCAACACGAACAAGCATGCAGGGGATGCCATGTGCAAAACGGAGCAGCGGTATCAGTTCCACCTTCAACACCCATCCCACTGCCAGCAAGAAAAAAAAGGGAAACAGGGCACTCAGAAGCCACGGCGAGCAAAGCTGGCTACAAGGGCGGTGCCTGAGGTTGGCTACCACCTGGCACCAACACCAAAGAACTGGCCTTGCGCCAACAGACCTTTAGCTTTGCTTGTTCCACAAAACTCCCTTCCTGGGCAGGGACACCGGGACTAGGGAGAGCGGATTTGACAAAGTGTGTTAAACATATTAGCCTGGGGTTAAAATGACCTCCCACAGTTGGTTTAAAAATAAGGGTCTAGGGCAAAAACAGAGCTATTTGACCAAACACACTTACTGTTTCCCTTTTAGGTTTCTTGCTGGCCAGGGAGGCAGGGTGCGACTTTGATTTTTTAAAGGGACACTGTCAAAATAAAAATCACATGTTTTACAACTTCTAACCTCCACATGGCATGAGGATTGGTGGGGTGAGGCGGGCCTCTGGTTTGCTGCCCTCCATGCACACCCAGGAATTCTAAAATTATGGTTGACCTTAAGACCACATTCAACACATGAAAAATTCTTCTTCTTCTACTACTACTTTTTTCCCCCCAAAGACAGGGTTTCTCTGTGGCTTTGGAGCCTGTCCTGGAACTAGCTCTTGTAGACCAGGCTGGTCTTGAACTCACAGAGATCTGCCTGCCTCTGCCTTCTGAGTGCTGTAACTATAGGTGTGTGCCGCCAACGCCCCGCAAGAAAAATTCTTCATCAGGGCCCTGTGCAGGCTCCCTGCACATATATAAGCAGTTCCTGTAGAGGGTCCCAAGCAGAGGGAAACCTAACCTCAACCTAATCCATTCATGGTCTGGGTCTCCCCAGATCAAGAGGTCTTGGCCAAGGAGACATGAGAGTGACTTGACCTTCAGCCTCACCATTACCTTATCTGGGTACTTCCCAGAGCAGGTGGCAGAGAACAAGAACCCACTTAGGTACTCAGAATCCTGAAAAAGGCACGTGGCTCCCAGGGCAGACTAGAGCTTCTGGCTCATTACCAATCAAGGTTACACCCCCCCTATAACTGGCTCGCTCAGGATAAGAGGGAAAATAGGAAAGGACCTACCTGGGCTTCAGCCACCAGGACAAAACCAACAAGCCCAGCACTGTCAAGCACTGGCAGGTCCCTGTACAACACTCAGAGCCCCTCCTTCACCAGGTGGCCCCACCTCAGAGCCACCTCTCCTGCAACCAGCAAGCACATGGTTGGTGAGTGTATGACCTTTAATCAAAACCCACACAGTATGCTAAAAGGCAGAAGTGTTTCAGGGGCCTTTGTGTGTGGGGCAGTGGGATGACCCACTGGAGTGAGGATGCTACACCTCTAGTCCAGGTACCTGAATGCTAACTGGTTTTTGAAAGAAAGGCCAACAATGTACTTCTAGGCTTTTAAATGTTGGCCTAGGACAGGTGCAGTGGCACACACCATTAATCTCAGCACTCAGGAGGCAGAGACAGGTGGACCTGAGTTCAAGACCAGCCTGATCTACAGAGTAAGTTCCAGAACAGCCATGGCTACAGAGGAAAACCCTGCATTGGAAAACAACAAAACAAACAAAAAATATTGGCCCAGTTTTCAGAAGTCTACTGTGAGAGTACATCACACCTGCTGAGCTTGCTGACTGTAAATAAATAAAGCAGGCCTTCCAGGAGCAAAAGCTATGTTCCCCCAGATGTCCAGGCCATAGAGCTTATTGTTCTTTCTTCTTAAACTGGAGGCAAGGCCTTCAAAAGGTAGCATAGCAGTCCCTGCAGCAGATGCTCATGGGAACCAAGAAGGTCTTGGCCCAGACTGAGCTATCCCTCAGTCCCCAACTGCCTCAGCTTTTCCTGCACACTCTCACCTATTTCTAGGCACCTCTCTCCCCATCTCTGAGCACTTCTGTGAGTCTCATCCCTTACTTATGTCTTGCTTGTAGGTTCTTTAATTGACAAGACCTTCCTGGTCTGCCTGAAGCAAGATTTACCTAGGCAGACATTCAGTATATAGAAGGGGCCTCCAGGTTGAGGCTGAAGCCAGCCCACAGGCAGTAACATACAGGAGGCTGCTCAGAGTGCACTGCACAGTACAGATGGGGGCAAACATTCAACAGAGCTCTGAGGAGGTCCTACCCTTGCCCAGCAGAGCCTGGTCCCTGATTAATAGCTCACAGGCTGCTGTGGGGCCATGCCTTCCTAGTAGGCAAGGTGAAGGAGGAAAGGCACTTACAGAGTGCTCATCATGGTCCACACTCTGGGCCAAGACAGGGCTGAAAGAGATGGGAGACAGGGCCCCTGGCTTCTTCCGAACAGCCCGGATCTGCAGGAGAGCTCGGAATGCTGTGGCAGAAAGAAAGTGAAACATGTGAACAAGGACAGTGTCTTAGAGGCATAGACAGATGGACACTCTGACAGACTGCGGACACTGCCACTCACAGTGCCCAAGAATCTGAGGCAGAGGGGATCCTTAACAGATGGGCAGCTTCTAAGGGACCGTTTCTAAAAGACCAACAACTGTTTGAGGACCCCTCTGTTCAAGTCACAGTGGCTGTGGCCACCACTCACACCAGTAGGCTGAAACAGTGGGGACCACACAGACTTCAGGCTCCTGCCTGTGAGCTTAGAAGGCAGGACAGGAGCAGGGAAGTACAATGTCTACCACAGAGATAACTGGGACAGACACTGGTTATGTAGCACAAAGGACAAATTAGGACAAAGAGTATCTCCTAGTGCCTGTTCTGCCCACAAGAGTGGGCCAGCATGAAACAGGATTACATTCCTAAGACACAGGGAGTGGAGATAAAGTCCATGAATCTATGACAAATGTGTCATAAATCAGGGTCAAATAAGATATGCCTCAGCACCCTGGTGCTGAGGAATCAGAGAAGCCCACAGAACAGTGGCACCTTTCTATCCACATCTGTATTTTCAGTCTGTGATAGGAAGCTTCCATCTCTACCTCCTATTTGAGCACCCCAACTTGAAGCCATGCCACACAGGAAGATTTCAGAGGCCTAGTGGCAGGTCCTGGTACCTGCAGTAAGTTCTAAGGCCTTGCAGATCCCACATCAGGGCCTTTTCTTTCCATTCTTCCAACCTCAGCCCTATACACAGCTGCTATCCTGACTACAACCCATCACTCCTGTGGTTTGTCGTGCAGTTTCCCATCTGCTTCCAGCACAGGACACGAAAATACATGGCCTGTATGCCCTGTCCCTCTGGGGTTCCTACAACAGCCTCACTTCTCCACAACCACCCATACTTGGTTACACAGCAACAGATGAGGAAGGGCATGCACTTCAGGGTGGAACTGGGATTCATGGCTCTGTATTTGTACTCTAGCCTAGGACACACACTTACTCCAGCCCTGCTCTGACCTCTGGGTCCCAACAACACACTCCGAGACTGCCCCAGGAGGCCGGGACAAGTGGGAACACTGGTGCTCAGCTTCACTAGCCACCACTTCTCACAGACTGAGGCCTGCAGGGAGGTCTCGGGACCCGAAGCAGCATCCTGTGTGTACTCAGGATGGTAGGCTCACATAGGACGGTGCTAAAAGGACTGCTCTGAAAAGATGGCACAACTCTGGCCATCCTCTTCTCTGGGGACCACACATGTAAGAATAGTACCTCTGCCACATGTGGGCACCAAAGCCTGCACAAATCCAGGCTGGCACACTGCCTGCTCCAAATGCAAAAAGGACTATGAACTGCCCATGTCAGCCCACCTGTGGTCCCATGTTCTACCTCAGATGGGCCTTCCCCTGGACACTGGGAGAGACCCAGACCAGCCCGTCTGTATATGCAACCTGTCCTATGACCCACCGGAACTGCCACAGTGCAAACTCACACATTTCATGAACACACACCTGACTCTTAGGGGACTACCATCATGATATGATGCTTTCAGACTGTGGGATCAAGAGCAGAAGCCTAAACCCCACCATTTCTGAGTGAAGAAACCATTTTTGACACTTTATTAACCACAACCTTGGGTGAGTTTCCTTCCAGTCTACCATGTGACAGACAACCTGACCACTACCTGCTCACTTTCCATCCAGCACAATGTTCTGCTATTGACTCACTTTAATATTTTCAAAAATAGTTCCTATGTAACTGTGACAATAGATCTTGTTCAGAGCTTTATCTGCCCTGGAGCACTTCCGTGTCTTCCTTCTAATGTTTTCCTGTCCTAGAGGCAGAAGGATCAACATCATGCCTTGTGTGAAAAACTCATGGAGTTTCCATTTCTCATACAAGAGTGGTCCCCAGACTGCCTGGAATAGGCAGCCCTAATTCTCCTGTATCTTTCACAAACAGAGCCCTGGGTAATGCTCACGCAGCCGGCAGATGGGGCAATTGTTGGCCTGGTACCGCAACGTGTCAGCACAGGAAGTACAGAGGCACAGGTGGCGGCAGGGCAGGATCAGCGTGTCCCTCAGGTCTGACAGGCACACCACACATTCACTGCTGTTGTCACTGTTCTCGTCATCAGATGGCTGTGGAGACAAGGGCCAGTGCATCAGTGGCTTCACAAGAGCCTACAGGTGGACCTGAGGCTGCCTTGAGCATGCCCTCCTGTGTTTATGTGTGCCATCATTCCCAGGGACTTTATGGCAAAGGGAGTAGGAGGGGTCAGGGACACACCGTGGGGAAAGCACCAGGCTCACATGGAGGGGAAAAGCCTTCCCTTCCCTAAACCCAAATATGATAACTCTTTCTGCTATAAAGAAGCACAGAAAGGAAGGATAGCTGAACCATGTGTCTGTAACTGCTGGGACTGTCTATTCAGCCAGAATCATTGAGTAGATCTAACTTGGAAAAACTTTGTATCAGTTTTCAGAAACCACACCAGGACCTGGAAAGGGAGTGAGCAAATATCTTAAAACATGAACTGGGTTAATTGAACCTGCTGTTTTGGAACACTGACACATTTAACCATCTTTGCACTGTCTGGGGCTGCTTCTAAGCTATGGCTGCAGCACCACCAAGTTGCTGCCATAAAAACCAGATGGTTAAACCAGCACACCTTTAATCCCGGCACTCAGGAAGTGGAGGCAGGTGATCTCTGTGAGCTTGAGGCCAGCCTGGTCTACAGAGTAAGTTCCTGGGCCACAACTACACAGTGAGACTTTGTCATAAAAAAGAAACAAACCACAGATGGCTCATGAAGCCAAAAATACTATTATGACAATTTAGTGATTCAAACAACTTGCTGTCAACTTGCTGGGGGGAAAAACAAAACATTTCAAAAACTGCTGTCTTCTGCTGTAGTTGGGGGGGTGTATATGAACTGTCCCTGTAAAAGGCTTATAGATTGGAGGCTCTAAAACCCAGCTGTTAGGGGAGGTCCAGGAACTCTAGGAAGCAGGTCACTAACGGCAGATCCTTCGGGGGGCAGGTAGCTTCAGGTAGCTGCCATGCCATGAGCTTCACCTCACTTTCCCTGACATGGTGGACTGACACCTGTAAAACTATGAGCTGAAATAAGTCATTCTCATTTGAATTGCTACTTCTCAGGTAGTCAGTCAGTCAGAGACAAACAAAAAAGCCTGGTTAGCTTAACTGCTAAAAAGAGATTAAGGAAAAAGAACTGAGTCTGGGGCTCTGGACCTCGAGGGAAAGGCCTTCCCATCAAAGTTTGTGGGCACTGGGTCAGGCTTTGGAAGCCTCAGCACATCATCAGTGAGTGGGCTTCTAAAAGGCAGTTAGAAACCTGAGTCATGTTGCTAGCCTGAAATCCAATTAGCTGCCCACAAGGACACACCTTGGTCTCTTGGTTGTTCTTATTCTCGATTCCGTAGATCTCCTGCAACAGGTAGCTGACACGATCCACCTAGAGAGCAGAGAGATGTGCTGGGGTCTGGTCAGTCTCCACTAGTGGGCATCTCTATACCTAGGTTACCTCCAGAGCTCATGTCCCACAGAAAGTGTGGCTGAGAAATCTGTGTGACCTGTTGAACCCCTCCTCCTAAAGAAGGGTAAATAAATGACAGGAACAATGTCCTCTGCTGAGCTCAGCAAGCAACACAGGGAACAGCGAATGATGAAGCCGATGATCCTATCCATCTATCCCAGAAGGCCTGGCTCCAAGCTGTCCACAAATATCCCCATTACCAGAAAACAAATACTTTGGACCCCCTCTGTCACCCATAAGAGGGCCAGAGCTGCTGTCTGTAGGCAGCAGATTGCAAGCCTGCAACTGTTCTTTCCCCAAGAGACAAAAATCAGTATCTGGTCTTAGACACAAAACCAATCACTTCTGACCAAAAGGCCTCATGCTGACCTGACCTGAAGTGCTCCAAGTTACTACAAAGTTCCATGGGCCATAGTATCCCTCTAGAAAGCTAGGATCCTGCTAGCTGGCTTTCAGGAAACAAATGTCCCAACCCCTGGTGGGGTCTTCTGCCCAACTATCATCAGGGTCTGAACCTGCCAGGGTTCACTCTATCTCTCCTTTAAAGGCTAACACACACATTGTAACTTTAAGCAGGTCTCAGGCACTTGGGTAGCTACACACAAGATGATTGCTAACCATGGCCTTGCCTTGGAACACAGGCTCTTGCCTTTCAATCTCATGACTAAGGTCTCAAATGATTCTAGTTAGGCATCCCACTAAATCCTTATATTGCTCAAGTAGGCCACCAGGAGTAACTGCCCTATGAAGGATCAAGAATGTATGAATCCCAAGAGAAGCTTTCCCAGTCTCCCCTGCACCCTGGGACACCTCCCCTCTTGGGTCTCAAAGAGCCAATCCAGTCTTTGCCCAGTGCTGCTTTACTTCCAGTAATTTGTAAGCAAGAGACAGATGCCATATTTCTGTTTCCTGTCTTTCCTTACCTTCCCTGCCCACTCATTTAGCAAATACAAAAACTAACTTGTATTCTATACATCATGGTTCAAACTGGGCAGGAGTCAGGGACCTGATCTGGTTGCTATAGCACAGGGTAGCTATACAACCCATGCACACAAAACACAGAGCCCAATATCCCAGAGCACAAGAGGGCAGACTCAGGCAAACAGCTCCTACATGACCAGAAAGAACAGCCCATGGAATCTGGGTATGTGTTTACACCAGCATTATGAGTGTGTTTTTTGCAACTCAAGGGTCCACTTACAATTTGCTTCTGCTTTAATGGCTTCACGGAGAAACTGCCATCCACATGCTGCAGGGAAGAGACACAGTTAATCTCAAACTGGCCCTTCCAAGCAAGCACTCTTGCCCAGCCAGGTGAGGGCCAACCTACATTCATGGCTGAAAATAAGAAAAAGGTGAGGATAAGGATCCAGGCTACAATGTCTTCACCTGTGGCCTCTTGCCTGCCTTCTACTGTACCTGGAGCACCTTACTGAAACATTCCCACAGAACCCAACTATCCTGAGTGGTCCCCAACATGCAAAAATTGAAGCTGCTCAGCCACATTCTGATACTGGCTAGCAACTTCCATATACCTAGAAACAGTATATATATAGCAAGAGTGAATACCCAAAAGTTCTTCGGCTTGGCTTAATCAGGAAGATGACACAAGCCCACACCCAGAGAGCTAAAATATAAAAACAAAATGGAATAGAACCAATGTGTTTAATGCTATCCAGGGGAATAGACTGGTCAGACAGAGTTGGAAAGGCTTATTAAGGTCTTAGAGCTGAGATTTTTGTAATTAGTGTTATATTTTGAATCAACCAAGACCAGCACTCAGGATTGTCCAGTAAAATTGATGAGTACTTATGGATATTTCTAGAATGCATTGCTACAAAAACAAGCAGTCTTCCACCGACCTCTAAGTTGGGAGCACTGAATCAAATGCCTGCTGGAGATAGCCCATTTGCCTCACCAGATCCTGCTTGTGAACACTTCTCCCAACCAGACCCAAACACGGGATGCTCAAGAAGTGGCTGGCCACTGTCCAGCACATTCAAGTCACCTGCACTTCTGGCCCCAGAAGAGCATGCCTAGGCAGAACAGATGAGCGCAGCTATGAAGAGCTCAGAGTGGTCCAAAGACCTGGGTCCAGTAGGAATGGGCTCTACACCTTGGCGAAGAACTCCAAGTCACAGGACTCAAAATGAGTCCGCAGGAAATAACTCTCCCAGGCCATTCTTTGTGTGGTCCTTGTCACCCGGGTTAAAGCCTGAAGCTATGTCTTGGCTGCAGTGCTGAGGAACAGCAAAGGGCCTGAGGTATGGTGGGGTCTCTGAGGGCATTATCAAGCAGGCATGTAACACCCAAATCTCTGATAAGTAAGGAAACACACACAGGAACACACACACACACACACACACACACACACACACACACACCTGGGGCTGCCCTAGCAGGTGGCAAACTCTCACCCACCCCACCATTACTCACTGAGCATGCATATTACAGATTAGGTACCACGACAACTCTGAGATGACATATGAAAGGCACAAGTGAGAAGAGTAAAGAACTGCTCAGAGGGGTCAGGAAAGGGCAGTCTCCTATGGGAATGAGGCCTGGCCAGCCCTATCTGGACTGCAGGCTACAGCCAGCAGGAGGTGCAAAAAGGAGCAGGTCGTAAATGAGGTAGACACACACACTTGGTAAGGCCAATGCTGGGTGGCACATGGGGATACTGAACCTAGTGAGAAGGGGTGGTAGCTGGCAGAGGTGTCCATGTGGGCATCCTAGTCTGTGCTGGCAGGTTCTTAAGGGTCCTAAGGGGCTGACCTCAGTCTAGAACATTTTGTCTCACCACTCTAAATACTTTTTAATAACCCCAAGAGGATGCTCAGCCTCAGGACTAGTATCTTGGGAACTAAAGATTCTGTCATTTAGCCCCTGCACCAAGCCCTGACTCCCATACTCAGGCCACACCTTCCCCCAACTACCAGGTTACCTGGCGGTGCCTAGAATAGCACTTACCTTCTCAAAGGCAGCCAACAGCACATGAGCATGGCCTGTCACTTCCACAACTGAAGCAGGGGAAAACAAGAGAGGAGATGCCAAAGTGAGGTCATGGCTGGGATGCTCGCCCTTAACCTGCAGGCATGATTTCTAGTGCCACAACCAGTGGCAGAGCCCAGAGTCCACTCCTGCTCCTGCCCTCATCTCACCCTCCTCTTCTAACGATGCCACTGTCATGCGCCTGTCTGTGGGCTGTGGTGGAGAGGCCCTTTGAATATTCACAGAGAAGGAAGCCACTTTTCCCCACAGGTCACACACACTTGAAAAGGAACATGAGAAAAGACCAACAACACTCACCATCTCCTTCATCCACCACAGCCTGTATGACTACTGGAAACACACCCCGATCCAGATCAAAGTTCAGCTGAGGAAAGGAGGCAACAATGGTCAGGTTCATGGACATCAAGTAGTGAGTTGGTTAGCGTGAACTGGAGCAGACAGATGGAGTCAAGGACACTCAGTGACACTAAACCATGTAGACCATACATTTCCTGACCAACTCTCCAAACAGAAACCCCTCGAAAGTGGTGTCAAGTCCCCCCCCCCCCATTCCCTCCTCTCAGTCCTTGACAACCACTCATCTGCTTTCCATAGCCGTGAGTGTACCTGCTCTGGACAGTTCCTATAATGGATCATTTTAAAATAATTTATTTAATTTTATTTTATGTGCACTGGTGTGAGGGTGTCAGATCCCCTGGAACTGGAATCACAGACAGTTGTGAGATGCCATGAAGGTGCTGCATACCTAGCCTGTATATCTAGCTTTGTCAACTGATCATGCTTTCAGTAGACTCCCATTCCTTTTTACCATTGCACAGTTATTCTAGAGTGTGGATTAGCCACACTGTGTTACTACATTGTGACCACTGTGAACAATGTTTTTATGTATCTGTTTAGCCTCTGTCATCCAGTCTCCTGAGGACATACCTCCAAGTTTTGGGTTAATTTAGCTATGCAGTTTGGGGAAAAGCATCTGGCTTAAGCCTCACCAAAGATGGAATGAGAGTGAGACTACTTGGTTCATCCTTACCTTTCTCAAGTCAGCAGCTCCCTCCCTTCACTGAATGATAAACCCCAGACCTAGTTCCATCTTCACACACTCCACTGGCCCTCACAATCTCCATCCTGCTAGCAGAGCAGTACTCTGGGATTCACCGACCCCCATCTGTGGGCTACTCTCTGTAAACACTCTCAGCTCCTGTTTCTTCCTGTCACTAGACTGTCCTCTGTCCCCAACTCCCTGACAGAAGCTGTAGAGGACAAAATCCAGCTTACCCAATCTCCAGAACCTTCCTGGGGCCTCAGGGAAGCAGCAGGCATTTCCATTTATTGTCACTAAGGAGTTACTCAAGGAATGGTCAAGGGGTCACAATTCTAATTCTAACTACTCAGGAGGCAGAGGCAGAAGGGTGAGGCAGAGGCTCAGCAGTGAGGCCCTGTCTCAAACAATGGTGCTGTACACCCAGGCAGGAGGATGTCTGTGAGTTCAAGGTTAACCTAGTTTACATAGTGAGTTCTAGGCTACTTGACAATGTCTCCAAAAATCAATCAATCAATCAATCAATCAACAAATAAAAAAACTTATAAACTCTGTGAGCATACTAAAAACCACAGAATCCTTAGAATGGGCAAGCCATGGCATGTGAATCACAGCACAATTAAGTTAAAAGCAAAACCAAACACAGAACAAGTGAAGCAACCAGAGACAGGGCTAGGAAAAGTAGTCCCAGCCTAGGCCTTGTTCAATGGGGCCAAGGACAATGCCCTCTGCCTCACAAGTAGATCTTAGCCAGAACCCCCACAGGCTCATGGTACAGCTGCTTCTGGTCTGTGCCCTAGAACCCTGAGCTGACAACTAAGCACACATTGTGAATGGAGATTCACTGGCCAGAGGCACATCTCTCAGCAGAACACAGAACTCCCTTCTTCCTCAAGGTCAGGCTAAACTAGTCTTGAACACAGGACAGAAAAGTCTGTTTCTCTTCATCAGAAAAGCTGTCCCTCGTAGAGTAAGGAGGAATGAGGAACAGATCTTGGGCCCTTATTTCCACCCAAGCCCAGCCCCCCTTGCATTTTTTTTTTAGCCCTATCATACTGGGCCTCAGTTTTGTATTTCCAAATGAAGTCACTACTATGCCAGTTACACTGAATTCTACAATGGAGGCATGGAAATCCTCCCACCAGCCCAGCACTGGACATTGCTGCCAGGAAAAATGTTTCTTCCTAAGATTTATCAACATAGCCTGGGCTGGGGGCAAGGTTTTAAGCACACACCTTTAATCCCAGCACTCTGGAGACAAAGGCAAGTGGATCTTTGTGGGTTTGAAGCCCTGCATAATGAGTTCTAGAACAGCCAGGGCTACAGAGAGACCTGGTCTCAAAAAAGTTATCAACACAGGGAATTTTCCAGTGCAAATATAGTGAGAAAGGAGTCAAAACATTAAAAAAAAAAAAAAAACCTTTCAGGAGCAGATGGTTATTTGAACAAGAACACACGCCTAGGTTCATACAGTTGAATACTTGGTCCCATTAGTGAAACTCTTTAGGAAGGATTAGGAGGTGTGTCACTGGGGGAGGGGGAGTGGGCTTTGAGGTTTAAAAAGCCCACAGCCTCCCACTTTCTTTCTGCCTGCAACTTTTGGTAAGATGTTAACTCTGAGCTACTGCTCCACTGCCATGCCTGCTGCCACCACACTCCACACCATGATGGTCAAAGACTAACCCTCTGAAATTATAAGAAGCACACAATTAAATGCTTCCTTTAAAAACTGCATCGGTGCCTGTCAGTAGTGGTGCACACCTTTAACCCCAGCACTTGGGAGGCAGAGGCAGGCAGATACTTGGTCTACAGAGTGAATTCCAGACAAGCAGGGCTACACAGAGAAATTCTGTCTCAAAAAACAAAACAAGAAAACCCAAAAGTTGTATTGGTTATGGTATTTCAACACAGTGTAAGAATGGAGGCACTCAGCACCGCTGGCTTCCAATCCAGCTGTGATCACTCACTGTGAATAAGCCTCAACATGAGCCTCAGTTTCTCATCTCTAGAGGAACGGAAGCTCAGTCTTAGTGCAAGGCTGAGCACGACACCTGGGACAACATGCTTAACTCAACACAATTCCTTTTGTGTTGAGGCTATGGAGTCAAGGAAGACTTATGAGCAGGAAGGAGGATACAGGAATAGCCAGGCCATGCAGAGCAGTCACAGCACCAGACTGGGCAGAGACACCATGGAACAGCAAGAAGAGAATAACCCTGTACATTTACACACAGAAGAATTCCTCACAAAATGGGACTTAAGAAAGCAAGTGACTTTCCTGGATTAGCACCTTGCTCCACGATGAGGTCTCTGGTGCAGGAGAGCCACTCCAGAGTGACAATGTTGGCCGCACACTGCCCTTACAAGGTCCACAGACTAAGCCCAAGGAGAGGAACACTCACACAGGAACTGCTTGTTGGGGGTGTCAGTTAGGTAAGCTAGCTAGAAAGAGCAGAGCCCTGTACCCACCCTAGGCTGGAAGCCTGACATGGCACCATGCCTGAGTGTACTGGAACCCTTTTGCTCTGAGCAGCCTCCAAGCATTCTGTGCTGTTCTCAGCTGCACTCTGCACCTGGAAGGAGCCATCAGTGCTGGGCAAACTGGGCACAGAAAACAATGGTCTGGGGAAGGGTGTTCAGTGACTCTGGTCCTATCCTCCTCTCCCTGTGGTATCCCAGGGCTTATAAAGCATTTCACATATCACAGCTCCCTTAGACACTCCCACTCCTGAAAGCTGCAACAGTCATGCATCCTAACACTTACAAAGAGTAGCCTTGGACCAAGTGAGTGACAATGGAAGAAAACTGGCTTCCACTACCAGGGATAGCCTGAGGAAGATGCTTGTTTTTATTTTCAAGTTTTATGTGCATGGGTGTTTGACCTGCATGTATGTTTATGCGTCAACTGAGGGTTTAGTTCCCAAGGAGGCCAGAAGAGGAATTGGAATTACAGACTGCTTTGAGCTGCCACATGAATTCTAGGAATCCAAACTCAGGTCCTCTCCAAAAGTAGCCAATACTCTTAACCACTGTGCCATCTCTTTAGCCCATTTGTTTTATTTTTTATATTATTGCGGTAAAGAAGGATCAGGATAAACAAATAGGCCGAATAGATGTTTATTCAGGGAGAAATAACTTACAACCTAGACAGATGAACACCAGGAAATTCAACCAGATCCTCTCCTGTCCGAGTCACACCAGAAAGAGAGAGCCTTTCCTGGCCCCCTCCGACCTCCTTCCACAGGTCACTTCCGCCCATGGCTCCACCCCCAATGGGCGTGGTCAGTGCCACAGAAGGAGACAAAGTGAATATCCCACTACATTATATTATTATTATTTTGGTTTTTTTGAGACAGGGTTTCTCTGTGTAACAGCCCCAGCTGTCCGGGAACTCACTCTGTAGACCATCTGACCTTAAACTCACAGAGATCCTCCTTCCTCTGCCTCTTGAGTGCTAGGATTAAAGTCATATGCAGCCACTGCCCAGCTATTTGTTTTATTTTTAACATAGAACAAGAGAAACCCTCATAGGGAAAGAGGCCACTAGGACAGGAAGGAGCCCAGGCAGCTGCCACCAGCATGAGTTACACTAAAGTTCTTATATTTGGAGACCAGTTAAGAGCCGTGGGATTTCACACAGGGGCTCCCTGGCAAGGGTCTCTGCAGATGGTTGCTGGGAAATAAGGACAGAGAAGAAAGGCTCTGACAGAACTAAGTGGACACAACAGACAGAGAAGGGAGTAGGGGAGGGAAAACTAGCAGAAAAGATACTCAACCTGTAACCCACAAGAGGCCTGTGCTGAGAGGCAAAGCTGTTCTGTGTGATTCAGAAAGAAAAGAAAAGGGCTGTCATGCTGGGGCAATGACAGTGGGGGAGCTCTATCTTTGCACCTTTCCAGAACCCATGACTACCATACTTCTGGTCACTGAGCCTTGCCCACACCTTACTCCTTAGTCCCTCTGCATATCCGACCCAAGACAAAAGACCTAAACCAGGAGGAATCTCCACGGACCCCTGTATTACATACCAGCCAGAAGACAGAGAAACCAGAGAAGGAACAAGAGAAAGTAGGGGATCCCCCAGAGTTACCTCATCATCCTTCCACTCGGAGAAGTCAATCTTGAAAGAAGGCAGGGAGAACTGCTGGCTAACGCCCCTCTTGTAGTGGACAGTCTCAGACTGCAGAGAAGGATTCTTACAGCTGTACCTGAGGGCAGCAAGGCAGCCACCTGACTCCTGTGGAGCCATGGGTCCGTACACCCAGCCTCCCACCTCCTCCTGTTACTCATCCGATAGCCAGCTGAGCTGGCACTCGTTTGCTTTATAGAGTATGAGAGCTCCAGTCATCCAGATGGAAACAGGAAGCAGCCCACTTGGCCAGCTGGCCCTTGCTCTTACAGGAGCCTCCCACCACCAGCTCTGTTCAGCACAAGGCTGCCCAGTCCTGCCAAAGAACCATTTCTTCCAGAACACACGTCCTCTGCTGCCCTCTGGATGGGAAGAACATCCCTACAAGGCATTTAGTGCATTTACTTGTTCAGAATGACCATAGTACAGAACTCCCTGTCCTGATGCTTGTTCCTAGCTGCCTGCTTCTTAGTGGCAGCCAGGCACTGCTCATGAAGAGTCCATGCACATGCATGCCCACACAGGGTGAGACCTACGCTTCAACGTGGGTCATGCTCTAAAGCATCCTGTTACCCTCATAGAGTGTCATGTTCCCTGAGCCTCTATGCTATTCTACTGCAGCTTTGCTCTAGTGGCCCAGAGACTAGCTCCCTTTCGTTGCTAGTGCTCGAAGGATCATCCTTTCATTTATGCAGAAACTCATCTCATATCCCAGGCTGACCATTAGACAACTAGAGCTGATGGGGTGGAGAGATGGCTCAGAAGTTAAGAGCACTGGCTGTTCTTCCAGAGGTTCTGAGTTCAATTCCCAGCAACCACATAGTGGCTCACAACCATCTGTAATGAAATCTGGGCCCTCTTCTGACATGCAAACATACACACAGGCAGAACACCATATACATAATAAATAAAATCTTAAAAAAAGAAAACAAGGGCTGACCCTCACTATTCCCACCCCCCATCCCTGCTTACTGCCCCAGGGTTTCTCTGAGTATCTAGAACAAAGGCCACACTCAGAGCCTGGAAAGCTGGGGGATGTCCCTGTCAGTGCCAGTAAGGGAGGGAACCCCACAGAGCAGTCCAGCCTGGATGCATTGAAAAGGCCAGCCCAGAAAGGAATCTCAGCAGTCTGGGCCTTCAGTTATACGCTGTGGAACCCCAAAAGTACTCTATTTCAATTTTTCTTGACAAGAAGTTAAGCAGCAAGAAAGGAACAGTTGCCTGCCTTGCAACTCAGGGCAGTATTCCTACAGGCTGCATTTAGATTCCCAAGCACAGCCTTTAGGGACTGGGTCTTGGAGCCTCCTGTTTCGGTCTTGGTGATTTGAAGCTAGTTAACATACAAGCCAGCAAAACAGGAGGCAAACAGGCCTTATACAAGTCTCAGAAGAGGTCTACCAGAATGCATCTCTGGGCAGCCACCTGGTGGCAGCAGGGCCCTGTTCTCACTATCACACAGGACACAACAGGGAACAACTGATCTGGATGGGCTGAGGTTGGAGCCCACTGGACCTTGGCCCTCACTTCCTCTGGAGCAGCTCCAAGGCGTCTGCCCAGAATCTATAGCAGCTGTGCCTGAGAACAACTCAGAAACAGCTCGGTCTTCTCAGTTGTCATCACAAAGGAGGCCCAGGGAGGACACTATACCACAGGATTATACTGCTTCATGTTGTAGCAGTAGCTTACCCCAGGGCTTTATATAGGAGGAGGGCTTGTGCTGGCCACTCTGCACACTCCCAGCTGACAGTCAGTATACTACTGTTAGTAAGTAACTTTGTAAATGTAATTAAGTAACCCACTGTTTAGGCCTCAATGGAACCTTAAAGAACCAACTGTGAAAAAGGCATTAGCATCATAGTCGCCCACTGCCGCTCAGGAGGGAGTCTGCTGGTTGCCCAGGGCCAAGTCCTGAGTCCTAGAGAGAAGTTTTCTCAACCAGCAGCTAGCTTTGAGCTGGAAGAGATGAACCTCCCAACCTCATTCCCAGCTGAGGAAACTGAGGTCCAAGCAGTTACATGCTCTGACCACACCAGCAGGCACAGAGCTGAGCAGCACTCAAAGCCAGCAAGCTCGATCCTCCTTACTCCCCAGTGCTACATCTGAACCTTTTCAAGGTCTTCTCCAAGGCAGGAAGGACACAGACATGTTTCGGTCCATCTGTGAGGCCACTCAGGCCATGGCTGGCTTTCCTCCTGAGGTAGTCCCTGCCATGGTCAGGCTGTAGCTACATGCTGCAAACTCTTGAGACTGTCAAGACTCATATTTTAAAGAAAATCTCCAAAAGTTCAAATTTATAATTATGACACAACAAAAATATATGTACTTGGTCTCTGCCCAAACTCCTGACACAGAGCTTCCAATCTTTTGAAATTTTCTGGGTGCTGGGTGTCTCTCTAACCAAAGGAATTGACTCTATGGGGGCTTCCAGAAAGACCAAGCAGCAGGGACCTTTCAGCCCAATGCCCTCTCCAGGAAGGGGGAAAGGCTGCAGAATGAGCTAACAATGAAGCCCACAGGACACACTGCAAAGCATGGATAAAGTCCAAAGTGCCGACCCAGGGACTTACACTGCCATGCCGTTCAAGAACTCCTCTACTGCCTGACAATAAATGGTAATAGCCACACGGGCATCGGCATCAAAGGTGAATTCCAAACTGTAGAGCACACGGGGCTTCTCACCATCCTCTGTAGGGCTGTCTGCATCGTCTTTGTACCTACCAAAAGTAGACAGAAGATGGCATGTCAGGAGCCATAGTCCCCAAGAACTGGCTTGCGTACACAGCTGCAGGGTATAAAGTTAGCTGCTTGGATACATCTGCTTTGCCAGCAAAGGTAGAGGGAAGCCTGTTCCCTGCGGCACAACAAGACTCATAATCCACAGTCTGCTCCCCTTTCTTCCTGCCCCCAGAAACAAGGGACAAGTGTTGTTGGTGTGGATGTCTTAGGTTTGAAGCTGTTTTGTATGTTACTGATAACCAGACTGACTAGTCCCAGGTGTAGCTGCCCCATGCACAGCAGGAAACTGAGCCTCCACACTTCAGATGCAGTGCCACTGGGTCGGCCAGCAACACTGAGGCACAACTGCAATGGTGGGAGAACCCCTAGTTTGATGGTTCAGGGTCCTGCTACAGAAGATGACTGCATGTGCGCAAAGACTGGGCCCTCTCAATATCCCTTCCCCCCTTCCCAAGCACAACCAGAGCCTCTATGCACCACACAGGGTCCCCAAGAGGGTATCACTAGGAGAGTTACCTCACAAGTCGGAGTGAGTCTTTGCGGATGTTCACCAGGCTCCTCAAGGTTTTTACTGGCTCGTGGGGAGCAGGGGTGACATAGGGAAACTAGGAAAGAAAAATACAAGTGAAAATAGATGACTCTCTAGAAGCAGCAGAGAATAGGAGACAGAAGTCAAGGGAGACCCCAGCAGGTATTCTTAGGCTCTGATCCCCATGTGAGGGACTGAACTGACACTGGACATACTGCTCAGATGACCCTGGCCATTTGGTCAGAATATGGGCAAGGACTGGCCCCACACCAAGCAACTTAGTTATTCCACCAGTGTCCTCAGCTCTACGCAGGCCATGGGTGGGCTTTTAGGGCATTCTCCTATGGTAGCTTACAACTCACTGCTGCCCACAAAGACAGTTTGCATAATACACCAACCAGTGAGTATTTGGGAAGACAACCTATGTACGTGTACATGCTTATAATTGTGCCCCTATATAAAAATGTGTATAATTGGTGACATGAAACTATGGCTGTATCTTTCTATGCCTCCTGCCAGCAACACTGTGCTGGAGCTTGAAAGGAGAGATTAAGCTGGGTAAAGGCACATAGATTATAAGTGTTCTCTATCACAGCCCAAGTGGAAGCCCAACTGCCTCAACATAAAGTAAAAATAAAAGATCTGGAGGCTGGAGAGATGGCTTAACAGTTAAAAGCACTGGCTGCTCTTCCAGAAGATCTGGGTTCAATTCTCAGCATCCACATGGCAGCCCACAACCACCTGTAATTCTAGTTCTAGGGATAGGATGCCTCTTTCTGGTTGGCGTTCACTGGTACTACATGCACACACCTCACACATATACCTCAGGCACATACATATACAAACAAAATTAAATCTTTTTTAAAAAATTAAAAAGGCTAGGCACTGGTGGTGCATGCCTTTAGTCCCAGCACTCAGGAGGCACAGGCAGGCTGATCTCTGTGAGTTCGAGGCCAGCCTGGTCTACAGAGTGAGTTCCAGGACAGGCTCCAAAGCAATACAGAGAAATCCTGTCTCGAAAAACCTAAACAAATAAATAAATAAATAAATAAATAAATAAATAAATAAAATGAAAAGAACCACAAAAGGCCTGCAAAACTCTAAGACTCTGGGAGTTGAAACAACAAACATGATAGAGAAAAAGGCCCAGGCTAGTTCAGAAGTAAAAGAGGACAATACCTACCCCAGCCCCTGGCCTGCAGGATTATACTACAGATCAAGATTTTGTTAGCAACCTGCCCTGTGACTAATATACCTAGAAGCTCCTGGTCTGAAGGCAACTCACTAGTCCTGAAAGATGCTCAGGATGCAGTCATGTTGCATGTTAGAGACTGGAGCTCAGTGTTCCTTAAAGGACCTCCTGTCTTGCCTATCATTTAAAAACTCTGCTCAGGGATTTTCTCCCTGGTCTTTGTTCCTCTCCATTGGACCCACTTCCTACACATCAGACCTAGTCATATGGGTACTGCCCACCAGTGCAAATCCTGCCTCCTGGTGCCCCTTGCTCTTGCACACCTGAGAACTATCACACTTTCTTCAATACTTCCCACAGGAAACTCTGCTCTTCCTTCTCATCCTCACCTGACTTCATCCATCCTAAGACATTTCCACGACCCATCCCAATGCCTTTCTTGCCCTAGGCTGACCCCCCTTACCTTCTGAAGGCTTACTGAAAGTCCATTTGACCACCCCAATTCTAACTCATAGGAGGTGTGCTGTTTAGTTTTACATCAACTTGACACAAGCTGGAGACATCAGAAAGGAGGGAGTCTCCAATGAGAAAATGCTTCCCTAAGGTCAGGCTGTAGGCCAGCCTATAGGGTATTTTCTTAACTAGTATTGATGTGGGAGTGCCTAGTCCACTGTGGGATGGATTCAATAGGAAAGCAGGCTGAGCAAGCCACAAGGAGCAAGCCAGTAAGCAGCACTCCTCCATGGCCTCTGCATCAGCTCCTGCCTCCAGATTCTGCACTGTTTGAATTCCTATCTTGGTTTTCCTCACTGAACTATGTTTCAGGATACTTAAGCCAAATAAACCCTTCCCTCCCCAAACTGCTTTTGGCCATGGTGTTTCATCATAGCAATAATAACCCTAACTAAGATAAGAAGCATACCCTCTGGCATTGACCTTCCTTCTTCAGGATTCTAGCATACACTGAGACCAGATGAGACATCTAGCCTTGTGGACTGACTGATCAACTACTGGATTCTTGGACCCTCCCTCCATTGACAGCGAGCCATAGCTGCATTAGCTGGAAACAGCTGTAAATCATTCTAATAAATCCCTTTCTATATAATAGATTCATACTATACATTGTTTCTCTAGAGAACCCTGACTAATAAACCCTCTCACCTACTTCACTGCCCACCAGCTGCCCCGCAGAGGCATGCCTTGCAGACTCACTACTTCCTGGGAGCCTGATATAGGCCACTCCAGCTCCTCCTCTCCATCTCGCACAACTCAGCCCAGCCATGGACTCTGCGGTGGGATCCTTCCCTCTCACTTTTTGTTTATTTTTCTGTCTCTGTCTCTCTCTCTAACTGCCCATCCACTATTTTCTTCTTTATGACCCTCACTGTCTGAGAAATGGGGAAAGGGTCTGACTTCAGTCTTCATCCCCTACGCAAGAGCCCTGGACATACACCAGTTGCCAAAGTTGTATTGAAGGAATGGACAAATATGTTAAATACGTGTTTCTTGTGCACCATTCCACACAACATGGCTGCTCTTTCTGCTCATACGAAAGGTCTAGAATGAAATCACTAACTTTGTGCAGCCTAGATGTACTAGCTCAATAAAGGCTGTTCTGTCCCTCAGTGACCCAATTCTGACTATCCGTCTCTCAGAGGCAGCCCCAGGACACACTCTAAGTCACCTGCTCACTTCTAGCTCTGTTGATCTGGGATAACTTGGGGCCTGCTCATCCTCAGAGCTGGAGAAAGGCAAATGAGACAGCCTTCCCACTCCTCACCCCAGCCACCAGTGCCAGCCCTGCTGAGACCCACCTGGACTGGACGACTGCCCAGGAAGTTCAGATCCATGTTCTCTCCAAAGAGGTAACCTTCGGGATGGGGGGTGTCAAATTTCTCGCCGCCCATGAAAAAGTGTGAAGCAAAGTAGTTTCCTGCTTAAAAAAGCAAACATGTTTGTCCATAGAACACAGTGCTTAGCACAACTCTGTGGGAACAATCAAGACGCACCCAGGATTCATTCTAAATGGATCTTTTTTGTCCTGGTTCTGTCCTCCACCAACCTTCTGTAAACAATTGGCATCTATAACATGCCTCTCCCTGCTCACAGATAACAAACAGCAAGTTCTGGATTTGAAATCACTGACCGCAAGGAATAAGTCATATTCCTAACTACAAAGACATGTTCAAGTTCCACCCTGTACCCTTGCTTGGAAACAGGTGGGATCTTTGGTTGGTGTGGTTAGTCACAACGAAACCCCAGTGGACTAGGGAAACTCTACCCCAGTGAAGACACATGTATGAAAAGAGGGCACTGTGAACATAAATGTACACAGAGGGAAGGAAATGGGTGAAGATACAGGCAGAAACTAGACAGAGACAACTACCAGATCAGAGGTAGTAGAATGGATCTTCTGGAAGTCTAGAAAGGAGCAAGGAAGGATTCTCACTGAAGCCTTCACTAGGTGCACAGTCCAGCAAGATCTTGATTCCTTATTCCTGGCCTCCAGAATTGTGAGGGAACACACAGCAGTGGTTTTAAACTCACTGCTGATGGTCACTTGCCGTAGCTTCCCAAGAAATCCCCACATAATTCTTGTCCTCACCCTGCCTCCCAAATCTGAGCCCCATAAACCAGTGATGATCAAGGTTTAAAATTTGATGTTGATCTGGATTCTTTCTCACAAGTACTAAAACTTTAAGTAGTTTCCACCTGGACCCTAGAACACTTAAAACACTAGAACACTGGACTCTAGAACACTTAAACGTGCAGGGCAGGAGACATGGCACAGTGGTTAAGAACATTGGCTGCTCTCGAAGTGGAGCAGGTTTGGCTTCCAGAACCCACACACATGGTGCTTACAACCATCCTTAACTCCAGGTTCAGGAGATCCAATGCCCTCTTCTGACTTCTGTGTGAACCAGGGATGCATGTGATGCATATACATACATGTAGGCAAAATACTAGTACACATAATAGAGAATAAATATATATCTTTAAAAAATTTAAAACCACTAAATTTGCATTTCTCTTCTGAGGAAAAAAGTGAAAGACTTCAGATGTTGAAAGAATTGAGCACACATATCCCTAAAGAAAACCAGAAGCCAGGCCTCTCTCAAACATCCAGCCTGAGGCTAGCCCACCACACCTCAGTATTCTCCAACACAGATGACCTACGCAACAGCCTAAGTGAACATGGTCCCATGGATGCTAGTACTGTTCAGACTTCATATCCCTCAACTTTATAAGCATCAGTAACTTCTGAGCCCCTAAATCCATGAGAGTTCTTAGGATTCCAGTGGGAATTTTGAGCTTCTCAAGCAATCAGAACACCCAACCAACATGGACCTGTGATTTTCCTGACAATCACAACCCCAGCTATGGTAGGAACAGACAAGGCCAGTAAGGTAAGTCAAGGCCCAGGAGATAAGGTCAGACAGCTCTTATCCAGGGTAGGAGTTCAGAGCCAGGAGGCCAGCTCTGTTGTCCCTGACTATAGGAGCAGCAGACAGGACCTGACCTCAACTCTAGTACTAACCTACCATGTGTACCACAGTCAACTGCAGACAAACAAAAAGAACAATGTGACAACCAGCTCAAAACATAATACTAGGGTTTTATAGATTGTCTCACAGTGCTCCATAAAAGACCTGCATATACCAGCATGGAGCAGAATGATTTATACATATACATACTAGCACATGTAGAATGTGCTAGTAAAATCAGAAGAGCATGTTGCACATATTCCTGGATCCTGTTTGGACAGACATACAACAAAAGCTATGAGAACAAACAGAATGGTCTCAAAAGATATGTCCAAAAAGCTACCAGACAAAGCCATGAGGTTCAAGAAAAGGACCAAAGCCCTGGCTTTCTGCTCTGCAGTGGGTCTTTGTAATTAACATGATATGTGGTGGCTTTGTCAATAGAAAGAATGATTGTAATAAAGAAAAGTATAAGGACATCTTCCCAAATCACCTGCAGCCACACACACTCAGCCCTGGGGAGAGAATCTCAAGGCACAGTCTAGCCTTGGGTTTAATCGTGGCCACCTTCTAATAGTGAGTCTGAACCACAGAACGGAGGAGTGAGACTTTGACCAACAGCTGAAAAGCAGACTAGTCTGCCCTCATGTACACAGTACATCAAATGGATGGCTGCTAGGAAACTTACCTGTGCTAAGACCCCCTCTGATAGGCTGGCACTGCACTAGCTGGACAGCTAGAAGGTACAAGGAAGATGCAACTAGATGCAAGAAGTCCACTGATATCACACAAGACCTATGACCCAACACTTAAGTACCCTTGGAATACTCCACAGCAAGGGTAGCCTTAGTCTGAAAGAAGGCATGAGAGAAGGTACAATGAATACAAAAGCTGAGATGCCCCAGAGCCCCAAGCAGGATATAGGTACCTGGCTAGGAAACCTCCTGCCTCAACCTCCTCCTTTAAGAAGCAACCACATTGTGAACCCACAGACTCCAAAAACTGGGGTAGGGGTAGAAGCCAGCCTCCAAGATGGTCTCAAGTTCAATAGAACCCCAGAGGAAACAGAAAAGGCTGAGCACATAACCAGGAACTCTGTTGTAGTGGTGGGGTATGATTTCAAAGACTCCAGGCAAGGCAGATGCTAACTACTCTTGAGCACATTCAAGCAGTTGGCCCATGGAAAAGTGCTGTGGCAAGGAGTGGGGAACCCTGCTATTGACCCACATTAACCTGCAGGACATATGCAAGCTAGCCCTCAACTCCATGGCAGCCTGCAAGAGATCCAGGGCAGAACTACCTCCAGATGGTTCCCAGACTTGTAAGCTGTTAAAACACACACACACACCGCTTTTCTTTCTTTCTTTCTTTTGTAGTCCTGGCTGTCTTGGAAATTGATTTGTAGACCAGGCTGGATTCCAACTCAGAGAGACCTGCTTATTTCATAAGTATCAGGATTAAAGGTGTGCACCATCACTGCCTTACTTAAATTTTATTATTTTAGTTATATGTATCTATGTAAATGTGTGCAAGTGTCTGTAGAAGCCAGGTGTCAGCAGTTCCTGAAGCCATCTGACCTGAGTAAAGGGAATTGAACCTGTTCCTCAGAAAGAACACTATTATATGTCTTAACCACTGAGCCATCTCTCCAGACCAGCTGTTAAACCCTGAAGATACACTGGCAGGGATGACTGGTTCTACCTTCCCACTTATGACCTTGGGACTACTAAGATATTTCTGAGGTCACCCTTATCAAGGCCACCAGTATCGCCTACCTTCCAGGCTCCACACTACACAAACCCATAAAGTCTTTCCCACATCCTAACACCTCCAGTGGTTTTTAACTACCATACCAGCTCAAGCTGCACTTACAAAGCTCAAGACCTTTGCATGTTCAGTTGGTTCCCTTTGCTTATTCAGTTCTTCCCCATGAGCTCCATTCTTCCACCAGTCACTGCTGGGCAAGGTCTCTTCTGACCACACCCTTCCAACTGTCGCCTCCATCACCCACCTGCTTGCTGAGCACACCCTGCCCCTTGCTGTTATCTCCTTCCACAATGTCTTCAATCCAATGGACCCTATGTTAGAGGCTCTCAAGACTTATAGTTCTAGGTTTTCATTAACTTCAGAAAGTGAAGAGGTAATAAGGTAAACAGTTTGCTTTGTTTATACTCTGTCAATTGCTCTACAAATAACATTTAAATTGTAAAACAAAAATTTCAAATAGTCTGAGGTATGGTAAAATATGCCTGTTACAGCAATGATTATATCTCAGAATGGCAGGTGGTAGTGGTGCACAACTTTAATCCCAGCACTCAGGAGGCAGAGGCAGGTGGATATCTGTGAGTTCAAGGCCAGCCTGGTTTACAAAGTGAGTTCCAGGACAGCCAGGGCTACACAGAGGAACCCTGTCTTGAAAACCCAGAAGTATATAATAATAATAACAACAGCAGCCCAGACTGACTGAAATTCTATCTAGAATGAGATAATGGTGATGACCACACAACTGAATATACTAGAAACCACCAACTAAATTTAGGAACTTGTTATATGGGTAATGTCCCAATAAACCATTAGCAAGACTATAACTAGCAATTAGATACTATCTGCTGGGCTATAGAGAGAGCTCAGCAGGAATCTGTTTGCCTAGCATACTGGGGGGGGGACCGGCTCCAGTGTGCATGAGTGTGTGAACACGCTTGCGCGCACACACACACACACACACACAAACTGAGAACATGACTGCTCCACGGCATAGTTAAAGGGAAGATTTTTATTGTAGATATGAAAGAGAGAACAGCCAGAGAGGCATTAGAAAGAGTCCAGAGCAGAGAGGAAGTAGACTGAACACAGCCATGAGAGAAGCAAGAGTAGAATGGGGGGGGGAGAGTATAAACAGGGAGAATAAGAGAGTGAGCACAGACACAACAGCAGGGCTATAAGGAGAATGAATAGCCAGGAGGGAAGCCCATGAACTGGGGGAGCTTAGGGTATGGGAGGAAGTGCTAGAAGGGCTAGGATGCTAGCCTGAACTCTGAAATGTATAGCAAGTACTTGAGATACCAAAGGGAGCCTGAAAACCAGCATGTGCTTTGATATGCTAATAGATACCACAGATGGTCATTTGTCCCTTCTGCCTTTTGGAATTTAGGGAAATAAGAGTTTCCTTTGGACCTGATACTGGGAAGATGCCACCAAGCCAGATGGCTGAGCTCTATTAGGACTTACATGGTAGAAGAGAGTCCTTTGACTGCCATCATTGCAAGTGCACAACACCCACACACACTCACAAATGAATTAATAAAATGCAATGAAAATTAAAGAGAGAGAGAGAGAGAGAGAGAGAGAGAGAGAGAGAGAATGAAAAGGCAAAGCATGTATTGGAGTCCAAACCAGGAATTTAGGACAATATGGGCAATACCAACTCAAAAACAAAAAAGAAAAGCACAGA